TCACATACTGTTGAAGCCTAGCTTGCAGAATTTTAAGCGTTACTTTGCTAACATGTGAGATGAGTGCAATTGTGTGGTAAGCTGAACAGTCTGGCATTGCCCTTCTTTGGGACTGGAATGAAAACTAAACTTTTCCAGTCCTGTGGCCACTGCTGAGCAGTCTTCCAAATTTTTTGCCTGAAGAAGTCCATGAACAGTATGAAAAGGCAAAAAGACACCACCCTCAATAAGCAAGAATATTACTACTGTCTGATTTTAAACAAGTAAATGTGCTCAAAATAACTATTATTAAAAATGTGCAAAGTTAGCCAAATACTAGAGATAGAAAAAAATGATTTATAAAATAGAAAGTGTTCTGCATCAAAGGTAATGAAAAGCACAAATGGTATAAGTACCAAATACCAGTCTTCTGTAATCTAAGTGCAGTTAAGCAGCAGCAAGATAGCTGCCTGCAGCGGAGGTATTTTTCAAGTCCTATGTTAATTCAATAAAATACCATTGTTAGTTCACAGAAAAGCAGAAACAGTCAGTCAAAGCCTATTTTTAAAACAAAGTGTATTTGGCTTTTAAACGCTTATTTTTCTTGATTACCTGCTTATAATATTATAAATTATAATATTTAAGAAAACGTACAAGATTGTATCAGCAGATTTGTAAAAATTATGGTTTACATCACTATTACTGCTTCTAACAAGGAAATACCTGTGTTGGGAAGTTATCAGCTCTATATGTCTATATGTTAAAATGGTCTTTCAATGAAATACAGATACTGTATTGATGGTCAAAATTTAAAAGTCTCATATGCCACTAAAAAATAGGTAACTTCTCATAGCCCTGATGTATAAACCATATCTGTCACATTATTTCGGTTTGCAGTTTATTTCATCTAATATTTTCCTGACTGTTTAATTTAGGAATCAAACACATCTAACTATTTATACACAAAATGCTACAATAATGAGGATAATTTCTATTCTGTGCTCTATGATTCCTTTTAACTGACATTCAATTGTCTAAATATTAAATTATCAGCTAAAACAGATTATTCTGACTCACTAAAAAAAGATTTAAAAGACCTTTTATGTCATCATGTTTCTCCAGAAGAATAATAAAATTGTCTAAAGTCTGATTACGGAAAATTTCTAAAATCATTCTTTTTCTTTGATTTTTACCTTTTTATCAAATTGGTATAAATGGAACACAATATAACCATGCTATTATTACAAAAACATGTAGGTCTTCACTAAAAAGGGAGGGACTGTATCACTTCCATGCATGAAGAGCACCTCAAAAGCAGGAGACTGCCCTATGCTTCTTTCTGGAGATGAAGAAAACAGAGTAAATCAAAGGAAAATCAGAAAGTGAAAAGCTTGCAGCAGGGAATACTAGAGAACTGATGTGACTATGAACAGCGTTAATATACTATAACACAGATTTCTAGAAGTGAGAAGAAAACTTTGGTGAACCCAAAAGTGCTTTTACCTTTTAAAATGTAACATTCTTAGTATAAAATTGCAAGAATTTATTAAGCAAAGAACTGAAAGATTAATTATATATCATTAATCAGAGGTAAAGGTACATTTCACTTAAAAAACAACAGTAAAAACCCCTGAAGGCTTTCTAACAAGCTGCAGTGCTGGTCAGCAAATGTGAGACTTAAGAAAACTATCAGGAATCACACTTAATGTTTTTATGTTCAAGGCTTTCCTACCATGTTTTTTCCACACTCCTTGGCCACCTCCTCAGCAGATCCTTCATGTTTGCAATCCCATTTGCCTTTTAGTGCTTACTTCTACTACCAGCTGATAGATTTTGATAATTACATACTACTTCCATTTTTACCTCTTCCCACAACCAAAAACTAGTTGGTTGTCCCAATCTACTTGATTTCATAACTATTAGGGTTTTTAAGAACTTACACTTAATTTCAAAAATCACACTGTTTATCAGATTTGGTGTTTATAAAAAGACTCTTGAGATTATACCCAATTCACTTGTAAAATTTTAATCAGCTTCACTACACATTCTTTGTCACGTGTTGTTTTTCATGATATCTAGTTTTGAAGAATCCTCCATATCCTCACATCAAAAGCTCAAGAATTGGAAATTAACCTTAAGAAGGGAGGCGACTCTTAGGTGAGGGCCTTAGAGTTCCAAGTTGAAAAAAATGAGGCAAAAATACAGACAAGGACTACAAAGCTATTAACCTTCCACAGACTTTTGTATCAGCTATGCCAGGTATTAGCAAACACTCACTAATGATGACAGTAACATCTGCAGTGATATACCCTCCTGCCCCTAAACATTTCAAAGGGATGATGGTTAGAGGAGTGAGGTCCCAGAGGATACAAGCTGGTGGTGCAGAGGATAGGTACAGTAAATGCAGGGGCAAAGAAGGACAGCACATTGAGCATTTATAAAGAAAAATATAAGTAGGAAGAGAAAAGGACATATAGTTATTATGTGATTCTTAATTCCTTACCTACCAGAATGACATGAGTCACTATTGAACCCCAGAATTAAAAAATGTCTGATTTACCATGACTTGGCAAAACAGAGGGAGGGAGGGTGTTGAGAGGGGACATGTAGTAAAATCAGGTGGATATTTACATATAACTGTAACACATCAGAGCTCATAACATGCTTTACATATATACCTAGAGGCATTCAAAATACTTAACTGGCATGTTATCAGCAGTGATCCCTAAGCACAGACCCTCAGCAGCATGCCACATGTGGTACACCTGCTGAATGCAGCCCTGGATCTGGGACACGACCTACTTGGTTCAAAGAATCAAGCATGCTTGTACCAAAGATTCTTGTTTGCTTGCTACTTTTCACTTTGAAATGTCTGGTATTCTGTGAATGGGAACAGAGGCAGATGCAGTGTTCAGGCAGACTAAGAGCTGATGAGGAGGGAGAAATCCTTCAAGTATTCCACATATACGAATATGAAAGAAATAGTATGGCCACTGCCTTGAGCTATGTTCCCAAAGTTGGGGAACTAAAGCAAGGTATATAATTGAATACAACTTATGAGAGACAAGACCACAAAACCATTGTGTAGATGGTATCTAATTTTCAAACTACGTGTATCAGGTAGGTATAAAAGACTATAAATAAATTGTATTTACTTTTTGGAAAAATAAAGGCAAGGCTGCTGGTGGTTAACGCTCATTTTAAAAAATGAACAATTAGTTTTTCACTCATGGAGAGGACTTGAATTTTCACTGGACTTCCAATTTTAGATATGGAAAATGGACACACTGTCCTGTCCCAGTGGGGTGATGAAAGTACAGTACTACACTAGGGTCTATTGGCTAATACAATGACTTTAAGAATGCCTGGTTTACAACTGGGAAACCCTGCCTTATAATGATAAATAAATATTCAAACATAACAAAATTTAAACCAAAGAGAAATTATTTCAACTTTTCCATGCAACCAGGGTAGACATGCAGTCAAATCATCATTCTTCCCACTGTTATCTAGTACTGTTCCAGAAGGAAGCAAAATCACCTTTGCAGAATAAAAAGAACAAATTAAGTCAAATGTGACAATAGTGTTCTAAGGTTCCGCAAGGTATAGATGAGAGCACTTATGAGCTGTTAGTAAAATTTGATTTGAGAACTATATACTGGAAATTTACCAACTGTTTGGACTATAAACCTTATAATGACTTTAACATCATATTAACAGTGTACGTGGCAATAAGAGTGAACCTCACAGCTATAACAGCAGGGCTGTAGCAGAGATGGAATAAGACAGTGGCTAAGCAGGGACTCTACAACCCAGAGGGGCTCTGGCTAACCTCAAACATCTGGTTCTGCCTTTAACTTTCACTTAATGTGTTCTGAGTACGTTCAGGGGCTTTTGCAGTGAAGCAGTGTGAAGCAGTTTATGCTCAAGCTCTCCAAGTCCCACCCTATATGCCCAGCTCTCCTGGCTCACTCTATCTACTAGTACCAATGGGAAATGTGGGAAGCAGACTCTTTGAGGGTGACACATCATTTCTTGAAGTTGGAAATATGCTGACTCAGATGTTAGGTAAAATATCTACAATGTTTTCAAGGCAAGACTCGGTGTGTTATTCTGAGTCCGTGGCCACTGGCAAAGATCAAAGTAGGAGGAACTTCTAAGGGCTCAAAGCTTTGACCTATGAAGCAAGACATATGGTCTGATGAAAACCAAGTAAGGTCAATGATATGTTACAGTGAGATGTGACAGTGGATTACTACTTAATATGTGACTAAAGATTTTAAAATATCCTTATGAATGTTTCCTTTCAGAAGAGAAATCAACCAGGTAGCAAGAATACTATAAAAAGCAATGTGCTGGGCTTCCCTGGTGACTCTGTGGTAAAGAATCCACCTGCCAATGCAGGAGACACAGGTTTGACCCCTGGACTGGGAAATCCCAAATGCCATGGAGCAACTAAGCCCGTGCTCCACCACTACTGGCCCTGTGCTCTAGAACCCAGGAGCCGCCAACTATTGAAGCCTGTGAGCCGTCGAGGCCATGCTACACAGCAAGAGAAGCCACTGCACTGAGAAGTCCAAGCACCCCCACCTAGAGAGTAGCCCCTGCTCACTGCAACTAGAGAAAGGCCCACGCAGCCAAAGACACAACACAGCCATAAATGAACAAATAAGTAAATTTTTAAAAAAGAGGAGAGAGAGATGTGTGTTTCAAGTCAGGGTGTTTTAAGCCTTTTCACCAAGTGTTTACTAAAGGCCCCTGAACTTGGTTAAGATGCCACACTATGCTTTTAGCAGCAACAGGGAAAGACAGGCTAGTGGGGACAAGAAGGGGGCACTATCTTGTACACATGCAGCTCCCCAAGATGTGTAAAAGTTGCCGTTAAGAGATAATTTTAACAAGTATCATGCAAACAGTATCCGTACACTTAGAAGGAGGCAGAACATAGTGACAGGGCTCTATCTTGTGTTAGAAATAATGTACTTTACCAGATGATTTAGACACAAGGCTGCTTCACTTACCACTTCTGTTGATGTTTCTGCGTGTTCAGAAGTAACATGTTCTTGAAGAGATGTCTCCGTATAGCCCATTTTTCCACAATAGGGACAAGTAAAAGACTGTGGCTGCTCTACGGAGAAAGCTTCCCCACCATAGTACAAATCTGAAAAACAGAGTGGAACTCCATTGAGAAATAATTACCAATTTTTTAAAAATACAGAAAAATGTAGCTCAGTCATATCTGATGCTTTTGCAACCCCACTGACTACAGCCCACACCAGGCTCCTCTGCCCCTAGGATTCTCCCTGGGTTCAATCCCTGGAGTCACGAAGATCCCCTGGAAATGGAGATAGCAACCCACTCTAGTATTCTTGCCTGAATAATCCCATGGACAGAGAAGCCTGACAGGCTACAGTCCATGGGATACGAAAGAGTCAGACACGGTGACCACATACACCTATTTTTTTAGTGTATCACTTCATTACAAACCTCTCATTATTTAACAGGAAACAAACACCTAATTTAAGAGGATAGGATCATTTCTGTGAGAAGAGAAAATGAAAGAAAGTGTTTATAATATGACAGATTTCTTCATTCTTTGGGAAATTTTGACTACCTTAAAAATACTTAAACCCATTACGTATAGACTGACCATTTATTATATGTATAAGACTTGCCAGGTGAATTTGGGATAGGAGAAGATAAATGTACTTAAATATTTTAGTGGAGAATCTAATCACAGTAGGCAAGAAGATGAAATGAAAGGCATCCAGGTGGAAAGAAAGAAGTAAAACTCTCTATTAGCAGATGACAGGATCCTGTATAGAGAAAATCCTAATGAATCCACTAAAAAACTAGCAGAACTCATAAACGAGCTCAGTGACATTACAGGATACAAGATCTATACCTGGGGAGAGGGGACTGGAAGACTAGGATTAATATACACACTACTGTATATAAAATAGATCACTAATAAGGACCTACTGCACAGCACAGGGAACTCTACTCAATACTCTGTAATGACCTATATGGGAAAAGAATCTAAAAGAGTGGACATATGTATACACATAACTGATTTACATCAACGTACACCTGAAACTAACACAACACTGTAAATCAACCATACTTCAATAAAAACAAAAATAAAACAAAGCAGCAGACACAGAAGCTCTGAAAGCTGAGAAGTTACCTTTCTGTACCAGGAAGAGAAGAGGTTCGGCGCTAAACCTCTAGAAACCGCTATCAAGAGAGAGGCAAAGATTTGAATTTACATAACAACTTAACTCTGCAAAGTTACCCTTGTTCACCTCTTATAACTGGCCTCCTCTCCACCCAGCTTCCCCAAATCTTCTTTTGTCTTTAGCTAAAGATGGTATTTAAGATGAAGGCTTGGGCCATTTCAGGGAGTTACTGTTTTCCTGGGCATCACTCATGTATACAGAAGGTAGACATGTTACCAAACTTCTGTTAGTTTTTTTTTTTTAATAAAAGATCTATGACAGAAACAAATTGTTTCTCTGTAACCTGGAGTGGCAATCTAAAAGAAAAATTTTTTTAAATTCCATTTACAATTGCAAAAAGAATAAAACATTTAGAAATACATTTAACAGCAGAAGTGTAAAACTTATACTTTGATAACTATAAACTTTTGTTGAAAGAAACGAAAGATGACCTAAATAAACAGAAAGACATCCTGCATTACAGGGTAGCAGACTTACTACCAAACTGATCTACAGATACAAAACAATTCCTATCAAAATCCCAGTTGGTTTCTTTGCATAAATTTGACAAGCCGATTCTAAAATTCACAAAAAATTCAAGGAATTGACAATACCCACAGTAAGCCTGAAAATGAACAAAGTTGGAAGACTCATACTTTATGATTCCAAAGCTTACTATGTAACTGAGACACATTAGTATTGGCATGGAGACATACAAATCAAGGGAACAGACTGAGAGTCCAGAAATCAAAAGTGACATTTAGGGTCAATTGATTTTCTTTTCTAACAGCTTTACTGATATACTTTGACAAATAAAACTGTATATATTTATGGTATACAACGATGTTTTGACATTATGTGTATACTGTGAAAAGATTACCACAATCAAGCTAATTAACATTTCTATCACCTCTACACAGTTACCATTGTGTATGTATTTATATGTGTTGAGAAGATTTGAGATCTATCCTCTTCAAAAATTTCCAGTACACAATATTGTTAACTATGATCACCATACAACAGCATATAACTATGATCCATCTTCCAGCAACATCATAAGAGAAGACTCTACACATGGACATCACCAGGTGGTCAATACTGAAATCAAATTGATTATATTCTTTGCTGCCAAAGATGGAGAAGTTCTATACAGCTTCTTGTCAGCAAAAACAAGACGGGGAGCTGACTGTGGCTCAGATCTTGAACTCCTTATTGCCAAATTCAGACTTAAACTGAAAAAAGTAGGGAAAACCACTAGATCACTCAGGTATGACCTAAATCAAATCCCTTACGATTATACAGTGGAAGTGACAAATAGATTCAAGGGATTAGATCTGATAGACAGAGTGCCTTAAGAATTATGGATGGAAGTTCATGACACTGTACAAGAGGCAGTAATCAAGATCATTCCCTAGGAAAAAAAAAGACAAAAAGGCAAAATGCTTGTCTGAAGAGGCCTTACAAATAGCTGAGAAAAGAAGAGAAGCAAAAGGCAAAGGAGAAAAGGAAAGATATACCCATCTGATTGCAGAGTTCTAAAGAATAGCAAGGAGAGAAAGGAAAGCCTTCCTCAGTGATCAAAAGAAATAGAGGAAAATAACAGAATGGGAAAGACTAGAGATTTAAGAAATTTAGAGATACCAAGGGAACATTTCATGCAAGTGAAAGTGAAGTTGCTCAGAGTGCCAGACTCTCTGCGACCCCATGGACTTTAGCCCACCAGGCTCCTCTGTCCATGGGATTTTACAGGCAAGAATACTGGAGTGGGCTGCCATTTCCTTCTCCAGGAGATCTCCTCAACCCAGGGATTAAATCTGGGTCTCCTGCACTGCGGGCAGAAGCTTTACCATCTGAGCCACCAGGCACAATTAAGGACAGAAATGGTATGGAGCTAACAAAAGCAGAAGATATTAAGAAGAGATAGTAAGAACACACAGAAGAATTATACAAAAAAGATCTTCATGATCCAGAAAATCACGATGGTGTGATTAACACCTAGAGCCAGACATCCTGGAATGCGAAGTCAAGTGGGCCTTAGGAAGCATCCCTACAAACAAAGCTAGTGGAAGTGATAGAATTCCAGTTCAGCCATTTAAATCCTAAAACATGATGCTGTGAAAGTGCTGCACTCAATATGCCAGCAAATTTGGAAAACTCAGCAGTGGCCACAGGACTGGAAAAGGTCAGTTTTCATTCCAATCCCNGCTCCTTGGAAGAAAAGCCATGACAAACCTAGACAGCATATTAAAAAACAGAGACATTACTTTGCCAACAAAGGTCCATCTAGTCAAAGCCATGGTTTTTCCAGTAGTCATGTATGGATGTAAGAGTTGGACTATAAAGAAAGCTGAGCACTGAAGAATTGATGCTTCTCAACTGTGGTATTGGAGAAAACTCTTGAGAGTCTCTTGGACTGAAAAGAGATCAAATCAGTCAATCCTAAAGGAAATGAGTCCTGAATATTCATTGGAAGGACTGATGCTGAAGCTGAAACTCCAATACTTTGGCCACCTGATGTGAAGAAGTGACTCAGTGGAAAAGACCGTGATGCTGGGAAAGATTAAAGGCGAGAGGAGAAGGTGACGACAGAGGATGAGATGGTTGGATGGCATCACTGACTCAATGGACCTGAGTTTGAGTAAGCTCCAGAAGTTGGTGATGGACAGGGAAGCCTGGCGTGCTGCAGTCCATAGGGTCACAAAGAGCTGGACACGACTGAGCGACTGAACTGAACTGATGATCACCATGCTATACATTAGATCTCTAGAACTTACTCATTGTGCATAACAAAACTTTGTACTCTTTGACTAACATCACCCCATTGTCCCCTTCGCTCTAGTCAGCTGTTCTGCAACAGGGATGCCAAGACAATTCACTGGGGAGAGGATCTTCACAATAAATGACACTGGGACAACTGGATATTCACATGCGAGAGAATGAAGTTGGACCTCTAACTCATTCCACACACAAAAATTAAATCAAAATGGATCAAAGATCTAAATGTCGATACTAAAATTATAAAACCTTAGAGGAAAACATATTTCTACAACATATTTTTACACCTTCATGATCTTGGATTAGGTGATGGTTTCCTATATATATGACATTAGAAGCACAACAAAAGAAAAAAACAGATAAACTTGACATTATCAAAATCAAAACTTATGTGCTTCAAAACATATCATCAAGAAAGTGAAAAGACAACCCACAGAACGGGAGAAAATTTCTGCAAATCATTCACCTGTAAGGAACTTGTATACAGAATACACAAAGCACTATGAAAACTCAATAATAAAAGATGTATTACTCAATTAAAAAATGGGCAAAGGATTGGAACAGACATCTCTCCAAAGCAGATATGTGGGTGGCTAACCAGCACTAGAAAAGACGGTCAGCATCATCACTGGCCATCAGAGAAATGCAAATCAAAACCACGAGACAGTACCACTTCACATCCACTAAGATGTCTATAGTCAGACAGATAATAACAAGTGTTGACTAGGTAAGAAATTATAGCGTGAAACATTTAAAGGTTTTCTTATGCACTGACAGTGCCTTCTAATCAACTGTACAAATAATCTGCTTCCTGATAACTACAGCATGAAGATTTCTGTACTGTTAGCAAGAATAGTCAATTTAAACTTCACTCCTCCTTTACCGAGACACTCTTTCATTTCACACTTTGCCAGCTGTATTTATTTGTGAATGGCTTTCATAAGCAAACTGTAAGAGAAAATATTACTTAGAATAAAAAGTAAGATTTGTGCTATTTTTAATGAATTTGGAGCCTCATTATGCAATGGGGATAGTTTTAGAACATTTTGCCTTTACTTCCTCATACACGTACACAAAAATCTAAATAATAATTCACTAAAATTTTAAATACGTACCAAAATCTACCCTTGTTAATATGCACTGCATTGGGTGGTCAGTTGTATGCCTTGTTGTTGTTGCACCACTTTCATAACAAGATGCACAAAGATCGTAATCATAGCAAATTAAACACTTGTATCTGCGACCTCGAAAATTTCCTTTTAAACATGCATCACAGCTGACACCTATAAAAAAAGAAATATTATTAATTAGGAGCTGTAAAAGGCCACTCTTCATTTCATTTTTATAAATAAAAAGATGCACATATAACCCCAGATTTCTTTTCCAAAATGACTGAAAACAACAATGTAAAATCAGATATGAATTTCTGTTCCCTCAATTTACTCTTCTCATGGAAGTAACTTAAAATGTTTAACAAAATGTAAGCAAACTTTTAAAATGTTTTGATGAACTAGCAAGAGGGCAACAGTCAAGTGAAAGAGGAGTGAGTAGCTGGTCTCACTCAGGGAGGTGGGCAACTGCTTGGGAAAGTCTGGGCTTGCATGTTCACAGCACTGCAGGACAAAGCCCAGGTAGCAAAGACCTGCCAGGTCTGACATGGTAGGGTCTGAATAGGCAATTTCTCACAAAGGTGAGACCCTGATACACCCTCACTATACGTGTAAGCTAGCAATCCTTAGGGGATTACAAAATTTGCCCCCTGAAATCGCCTCTGCACAAAACACCACCACCACCCTGTAACTATCCGTACAAACCAGTCCAGATTTCACATAAGTGAAAAATCCAAATTCAGACTTCCAAATGGTTCTCAGGTTAAGAATTTAGAGTAGTTCTAAATAAGCACTGGCACCAAGCATTGGACAGAAATAAAATTTCAAGGAATGACAGTTCATGCACAAAATACCAACAAAAGCTTAGATACTACCAGAAAGAAGTTTGTAAGAACAAGCAGCAGAATCAGAATGGCAGAGTTGACAGCAGAACTGAATATGAAACACTAGCTCAAAACAATAAAAGAGGAGCTTAAAAAGAAGAGGCAACCAACATATTTGAAAATGAACCAAATATCTCGATATGCAAAATTTGAAACTTAATGGGCAGGTATAATAGCAAGAAAGCCTTTTATTTACATGTGATATGCCTGTTTATGTAGAAAACTCCTGCTAAATTATTAGAATTAAGTATTTTAAGCAAGGTAGCCAAACATAAACACCAATTTAATAAAATACTGATTGATTTTTCATTCCAAAAAGACAAATATATTTTAAAACTGCCATTTGAGTCTACTTATATGAGGTACTCATGTGCTGTGTGCTAAGCTGCTTCAGTCATGTCCGACTCTTTACGACCCTGTGGACTCTAGCACGCCAGGCTTCTCTGTTCATGGATTTCTCCAGGCAACAATACTGGAGTGGGTTGCCGTGTCCTCCTTCCATATGAAGTACCCTTGGGAACTTCACAAAGAACAAAACAAGCCCCTCCCAAACCCAGAGCAGAACAGTGGTTAGCAGAGACTGGGTGGAAGGGGAGAGGAGGAGTACTGTTTAATGGGTTTCAGCTTGGGATAATGAAAAGATTCTGGAGATGAATAGTGGTGATAGTTGCACAACAATGTGAATGTATTAATTCCACTCACTGAACTGTATGCAAAAGGGTTAAAATGACAGATTTTATGTTGTGCATATTTTATCACAATAAAAAAATTACGTCATTTGTAGTAGTATTCCTGAAAAGTGCCTATGAATAAACCTAACCAAAGATATGCAGCCCTTTATGAAATAAATTAGTAAAAATGTGTTCAAAGACATTAAACAGCTTTAAAAAATAAAAACACCAGGTTCACTGACTAGAAGGTTCAACATAATAAAATACTAATTCTCCCCAAACTGATCGGTGGATTTAATACAATTCTAATAAAAAAAACAAACACAAAAGAATTTTTTGTGGAACATAATAAGCTGACTCAAATCTTTACACAATTTGCAAAGGGTCAAAAATAGCCAAGACATTCATGAAGGGTAACAAGATGGAGGGATTTACTTAACATAGCTACAGTAATTTAGATAGTAGGATACTGGCTTAGAGACAGACAAACTAACCAAAGCAACAGAACCGAAAGCCCCTAAACTGGTGCTCAGATGGTAAAGAATCTGCCTGCAATGCAGGAGACCCAGATTTGATCCCTGGGTAGGGAAAATCCCCTGGAGAAGGGAATGGCAACCCACTTCAGTATTCTTTAGGACTGACTGGTTGGATTTTCTCGAAGTCCAAGAGACTCTCAAGAGTCTTCTCCAATACCACAGTTCAAAAGCATTAATTCTTTGGTGTTCAGCTTTCTTTATGGTCCAACTCTCATATCCATACATGACTACTAGAAAAACTACGCTTTGACTAGACGGACCTTTTTGTTGGCAAAGTAATGTCTCTGTTTTTTAATATGCTGTCTGTGTTGGTCAGTTTTCCTTCCAAGGAGCAAGTGTCTTTTAATTTCATGGCTGCAGTCATCATCTGCAGTGATTTTGGAGCCTAAGAAAATAAAGTCTGTCACTGTTTCCATTGTTTTTGCATCTATTTGCCATGAAATGATGGGACTGGATGCCATGATCTTAGTTGTCTGAATGTTAAATTTTAAGCCAACTTTTTCACTCTCCTCTTTCAGCTTCATCAAGAAGCCTTTAGTTCTTCTTCACTTTCTGTCATAAGGGTGGTGTCATCTGCATATCTGAGGTTATTGATATTTCTCCTGGCAATCTTGATTCCAGCTTGTGCTTCATCCAGCCTGGCATTTCACATGAGGCACTCTGCATATAAGTTAAATAAGCAAGGTGACAGTACACACCCTTGATGTACTCCTTTCCCAATTTGGAACTGGTCTGTTGTTGCATGTCCAGTTCTAACTGTTACTTCTTGACCTGCATACAGATTTCTCAGGAGGCAGGTGAGGTGGTCTGGTATTCCCACCTCTTGAAGAATTTTCCACAGTTTGTTGTGACCCACACAGTCAAAGGCTTTGGCAGTCAATAAAGCAGAAGTAGATGCTTTTCTGGTGACCCAGCAGATGTTGGCAATTTGATCTCTGGTTCCTCTGCCTTTTCTAAATCCAGCTTGAACATCTGGAAGTTCAGTTCATGTATTGTTGAATCCTGGCTTAGAGAATTTTGAGCATTACTTTGCTAGCATGCGAGATGAGTACAATTGTGAGGTAGTCTGAACATTCTTTGGCATTGCCTTTCTTTGGGATTGGAATGAAAACTGACCTTTTCCAGTCCTGTGGCCACTGCTGAGTTTTCCAAATTTGCTGGCATATTGAGTGCAGCACTTTCATAGCATCATCTTTTAGGATTTAAATGGCTGAACTGGAATTCCATCACCTCCACTAGTTTTGTTCGTAGTGATGCTTCCTATGAACCAGTCAATCCTAAAGGTAATCAGTGCTGAATACTCATTGGAAGGACTGATGCTGAATCTGAAACTCCAATACTTTGGCCACCTGATGCGAAAGCTGACGGACTGGAAGAGACCATGATGTTGGGAAAAATTAAAGGTGGGAGAAGGGGACGACAGAGGATGAGATGGTTGGATGGCATCACTGACTCAATGGACATGAGTTTGAGCAGGCTCCAGTCTGTGGGGTCGCAAAGAGTTGGACTCGACTGAGTGACTGAACTGAACTGAACCAGTATTCTTGCCTGGAAAATCCCATGGACAGAGGAGCCTGACGGGCTACAGTCCAAGGGGTCGCAGAGTTGGATGTGACTGAGTGACTAACACACAAACAGATGCACACATGTTGAAATGTGTGTCACAACAGTAAGGTCACGAGAGATCAGAGGGGAAAAGAGGGAGTAGACAGTAAATGGCACTAAGACAGGTGATCTCCTTGCCATATACGGGGACAATAGAGTTGGATCTCACCCACAGGTTCCACACACAAGTATCAATTCCAGATAGTTTAAAGACAAGTGTGAAAGGGAAGTGAGGAAAATCTCTGAAGACAATATAAGGGGAATATTTTTATAAACTCAAGAGTAGGAAACCATTTTCTTAACACACATACACACAGCCCAATAAACTCAACCACATTAAAATTATGACTTTTCCTTCAGTTTTAATATCCTAGAGTGATGGAAAAGACAAGGCCCAGAATCTGGTGATAAATACAACATACACGACAGACAAGAGTTAGGTATATAGGATACATTAAGGAACTCAAATATATCAGGAAGAAAATGACCAACATCCAATAGGAAAATGGGCAAAGACTTCAATGGGCACTATAAAGAAGAGCAAACAAAACGAACCAATAGATACACGAAATGACACTCAATCTCATTAGCTATCAAAGAAGTGCAAATTAAAACACCATGAGCCATTATTTTACATCGACTGACTGCAAAATCCTAGAAGCCTCTTGATATCAAGTGCTAGTGAAGACAAGGAGCAACAGACAGGCTTCTATGCTACTGCTGGGGACTTGTATCAGCAAAACCATTTTGCAAATTTTGTTCACATTCTGGTCAAGTTAAACATGTACAATTACTTTGTCTCTGCAATTCAATTCAAATCAATTCCCTGGGGCATCTTTTGTCCAGGAGCATCAGAAGAATGTAAAAGAATTTTTACAGTGGTTTTTGTAATTGAATAAAAAGGCTGTTAACAACCCAAAGGCCCATCAGACAGTCCATTACAGAATGAATTAAAAGATAATGGGGACTTCCCTGGTGGTCCAGTGGGTAAGACTCCAACCACCCAATGCAAGGGATCTGGTTCATTCCTGGTCAGGGAACTAGATCTGGCATGTCCCAACTAAGATGCCTGCTTGCCACAAGGGAGATTCTGTGAGCTGTAAAGGAGACACAGTGCAGCCAAAATAAATAAATATTTAAAAAAAAGAAAAAGAATAATGAATGACAGCCTAAAACAGTGGGTGAACACAGGCATAAAATCAAACTAAGTTATAAAACAAGTTAGAAGATACATGCCATGGAGAAAAAGAAGTAAAAAAGGATAAACAGTGTGGACAAAGAAAGCTCAACGAAAGGATGATGAGCAAAAAGATGGACTACTGTAAAATTTGCCTATTCAAAGCAGCCTTCAAGCACGACGATGCACAACACTGAAGATACTGAAGAGGGTAAGTACCTATTTAGGTTCACAAATGAAAGTTTAATTTAACAGGATATAATAACTTGGTCAAATAAAATGTAGCCTGAACTAAGCTACA